ACTCCTTTCGACGCTTTTAAGGCAGGATTATAAGCGCGTGCTCAAACGTTGGGAGTAGGTCGATAAACGTAATGCATAACTGTATCAAGCAATGGCATCGAAAGATATTCAGCGACGTTTGCACCGTTATGGCACTCAACGGTGGATGATTTGTTTTACGTAACTGCTTTTACCGCTCTGCATGGCAATACGCTAAACAATGCATGAAAACTATCCAAATCGCTGTAGTACATGAAAGTGAAACTGATCATACCATGTCTGAATCACGAAGAGACGCCTTAGAACTTGTTAGAGCAGTAGTACCTTATTCACGTCGTTAGACCCTGCATCCTAGCGCTATTTGAGAGAATAAGAACAACAACCTGTACAAAAGCATAAACAGAAAAAAGGGTGATCGTTCTGACACCTTAGACAAACTGGGAGCATGCAGGAACCAGCAGGAAGGACTAAGGTGCTCCTAGAATCAGATCAGAAGTGCGCAAAAGATTAGTAGTACCAGCTACAAAAGGGGCAATCACATGCGAAGTAGACTTTGTGTGTATGCATGACTTAAATCGCAGTGGCCAAATGAAGTAATTGCACTCGAGCCAATGAGGAATGTATAAACAAAAGAATATCATTGATAACTTTATTGTTCATGTTACGTTTACTACAGCTGATGTCTACTACAATAATGAAATAAAATAAATCATGTCGTTATTGCATGTGATGGGGGAGGTATGAAAAGCAGTTTATTCACAAAGGAGATTCATAAAGGGGCAGTCTTAAGAACGGCCACATGGTATTCTCCGCAGATACTCCAAGTGCAACTTGACTAAGTAGTGAAGGCTAATCACACGTGGTAGCATCCACGAGTGATCGCAGGTAAGACATCAAATTAGATAAAAGCGTAAGCCAGGCGAACGCCATAATATGGGAATTAAATCAATTTGAAGTGATGAAGGAATTGAACCGTAGTGCAAGTTTTCAAGTATGTATATGGTCAGAAGTGCCGCAGTGGCCGAAAGAATGCGACTGCGGACAGAAATGAAGTTTTTAAAAGGACTGTTGATGTGAAGAGACTTTAAAAGAATTCTAAAATCTCTCTGACCGACGTCGAGATAGTTATGACAGTTGACAGATTGTGATACTTACACTTGCGACAGTTATGACGCATGAATATTTCATAAGAATGATGCAGAGAGAATCTACAGGCACATTCGATGGGTAAAGCGAGAGAGAAGTCGGCCCAGAGACAGAACGCAGACGAATGCTCGATTATATAACAGACCCATTGTGCCGTCTTGGAATCGAAATGCAAAACACGGGGGTTGTTCCGCCAGAGAGGATCATTGCAAAGGTCTTCCAGCACCGTTGCCCGCCCTCAAAGGAATAAAGAACTTTGCAAATAAATGAACCTCTCTTCCAAAAGAAGGAAACACTGCTTTCAGCTGGTACCTGTATCAAGGACTTTCATCATGGTGGTCAGTCGAGATAACGAGCCCTTTTATATCATCACCGTCCAGCATTGTCTGCTTCAATAGTAAGATTTAAAATACACAGCTAACACTTTTCTGAAAGAAAATTCTCGAAAAATGGTTTTTACCTTTGGAGGAGCTCAACATTTTGCTAAAGCATGGCGCTAGCTGATAAATTTCAAAAACAACAAAAAACAATCAAAACAGTTTTCAAAGAATAGATAGGTTTTCAGGAAAACCATTATATTCAAATTAAAATTTATTTTTGAACAAATAAAAAATCCAAAAAAAAAACAAAAACAAACTGAAGATCAAAAGCAAAAACAAAAAATTCAGTAGAACGATTCTGATTCAGCATTGTAACGAATGAGACGGAAATCAATGTTCATGCTGTCTAAAAAGTCCGTCATGCTCGGCTGTGATCCCGGCAGACAATGCAGCAGTTCCTCGGCAACTTGTTGTGCGGCGGCTGTCCATTTCTCGACTAGACCTTGTAGTTCTTCAACTTTATTCTGAAAAAAGACAATAAACGTATCGAAAGATGAGGTAAGAAAATTTAAAAATAACTTCATTTTTGAAACTGTCTATTGCTTTTTGATTACGTATAGATGGCAGAGGAATAAGATTTATTTAAAGGATCTGGTGTTTTGCCTATCAGTGTCACATGTTGGATTTCAAGGGCCGACAATTGTCTCAGCTTTGCAGGTGAGGGAGAACACTCTCATCAAGTATCCTGATCACGTCCAAACTATCTGAAATTTAATCTGTCGACCTAACGAAGCACAGGATAACAAATTACGGTATTTCAGACTGTTGTATTCTGAAGCTCGTTAAAACTAGTTGTGTTGCCTTTATTTTAAAACAGAAGAAGCTGCATGAGCTTCATCTGAAACTCACATTCTCAGCCGTACCTATCAAATCCAAGATTTACGACAGGGTAGTTCCAAACTACCGAAACCAATACAGAAATAATGCATCTTCCTGTCTTTAGTTCCGGGTTTTCCAACGTTTCTTGTCCAAATGACCATAAATGGAACGGGACTTTGAGTTAATGCCAGTTCTGAATTTCTCGTTGATGCAGCATAACTCTTTACTTGCACGTCTTACAGTCGGCGTTCAAATATGTAACTGTCGTGTGAAAGAGCCATTCATCAGATTTAAATTTAGTCCTCAATTTATAATGTTAATAAACGCGTAAAACGCATGTCAGCTATAACCGTAAGATATATTAATCAATGAAAGATTATTCGTTACCACGATACTGAGAAAAAAAATTCTTGAACAATCAGTACTTCTGGAAGTTGATAACGGCATCAGTGAAGCATTCATTCATTAATGATGAATAAGATCAGCGAGGGGAATGATAATCTAACTGCTTTCCAAAATCAGCATAAGTTCATTAAAATTTCAACGCTGACCAAATAATCGCTTACAAAGGAGTGAGAAAATGTCAAAGACTGTGGGACAATCGACTAAACTCCCTCTGAGAACCAGCTGAAGTTTCAACAGATCGTCGTCAAAATGTCACAGGAAAACAGTTCAGTGGCGAAACACAAAAAACAACAACGAAAAAAAAGTCACATTTTCCTACGGCAGCAGCAGATAAACACTACCAATGCAAAAAGAGCTGCATGGCCAAAGTAAAGCTGAATTACGGACTACATACGCAGTGCTACAGCCAAAATATTTGCTGTATAAGAGAACAAACCGCATCACTTGTCCAGAGGGAAATAAAACGTCTTCATTAACCGTATTACGTCCATAAAAAATCTACGATTGTACTTTGTTGTGTTGAAAAGAAAGTTCTTTCAAACAAAAGACAAATTCGTTGCATTTTCGCAGAATGAAAGCTTCTAATCCGATTGCATCGACGACGAAAAACATTCCATTTGGATCTCTTCAGTAGTTTGAATGCCATGCCAGTTCCAACGAGATCTTTCGATCTGGATGGAGGCCTTCCTGGTAGCCCCCTGCCATTGAACTTTGCGTTCAGTATCCCCTTCGCAAGGTGGCTATCGTCGATTTATTCGCAATGGCTCCATCATCTTAAACGACTTGTTTGAAGCCAGTCGGTCGCTTATTTTGCTCATTCTAATCTCAGTCATACAACAGCATTTGACCCCAGATCGCAGCTCCTCAATTACTGATATTGATTTTAAAATCTATATTTCCGATGCTTTCAGTTATCTGTTCTCAGTTTAATTAATTGCTACCTTCTCATGCAACAGAACAAGATGTTCAAAATGAAAGCCGTGTATATATTCGCAGCTTTGCCCTATTGCCAGCATCTTTGTCAAGATATTCCAGAGCTGGAATAACTCGCTGTTCATAGTTAATATCAATCAATTTACAGCGATTCTTAACGTCTGTCGCTTGTCCATCACCAGTCAGCATACTAGTAAAATATGGGAGTTGTGGTAGTCGTTCCACAACTTCGATGTCAAGCATCAGACAGTTTTTGCTGTGGGTTCTATTAATTTCTATTCAGTTCGTCCTTAGGTTAATCGAATTAATTTAATCGTTTCGTGTTGACGCTGTTGTCTAAGAGTTTTGCTTCAAATTCCCGAGGCAACGGGTTTGATTCCGCTCGAAAGCAATCTCTGTCTTATTCATGAATTCCCTTGAGCAAAAAATTTACCGCATATTGCTTCAGAACCGATAAGAACCAGGGTCGTTCGTTCTTCTTTCTTCCGAGCCTGATATGTGAGTACTACACTGTGAGAACGAAAATGGAGAAGCTCGATGCTAGTTACTTTTGTCATATGGCTGTAGGATTTTCCTTCTGAAAATTAAGGCACTGATTTCCAATGACACAGAAACAGGAACTAACACCCCACCATCATCTTCGTGAAAAGAAAGACGCCAAAATGGCCCAAACGTGAAAGTGGAGGAAGATCTACATTCTAACAATGACCAAATTTTTTCCCATTGCCTTTGCAAGTTAGTCGAGAGACCCACATCTGAACACCTTTTTCAGAGTTAGGAACAGTCATGTCACAGCTTCGAAGTTGTTGGCAGGTTTACAGTCTACATGTTTGTTGCCCACCCATTCCATCGCAGCTTTATCCCTTCGTATTCGCTGATGCACCCAGTCATGAAACATTATAAATAGTAGTGAATGTTACACCCCTTGCCTAACTCTCAAATTTTGTACGAAGCATTTGCTGAATCTGCCAAAATTCGCACTGCATACTGATGAATACATCTTTAGAATTATACACACAATCTTGCTTGAGATCCAATATTATTTTCCAACTATCCACATGGAATCAATATCTGGTATTAAGAACAATAACCATATCACTACTGATAACCATTATCACTTATACAAATAGTACCTGACCACAATAATAATCTGCGAGACGAAGTTGGCGCAGCAGTTCGCGTTTCGCATCGAGTCGTTCTTTTGTACTGCCATCAAAGGTGCTGATTTGAGCATCAACTTTAGGCGCGGGTGCCACAACTTCTCTACTGCTAGTTCTCAGCAGGTAGTCATTTGCCTCTAAAGCCCTTTCGATGCGGGGTTTCTTGCCAGGTATCGCAACTCGGTCTTCGTCGGACCCGCGTTGGCATACCTGAACAACTTTCGATGAGGTGGAGGCGTCATCTGGGATATTCAGCGAGGAAGGAGTCAGAGGTAGTTTATCATGTTTAGAGTAGTACGATTTACCAAGGCGTCGTAGCCGTTCTCGCAATGCCGGGCTGAACATATCTCTGTACTAATCATACGGCATGACCTACAAGAACGAAACAAAACAAGGTTAATAATCACGGTGATTAGGAAGTTCTTGCATTTAATTGAACAGCACTGAGAAAACCGTTAAACTGAATAACTAAGTATATCATATCTGTAGGATAAATCGACAAAACACCGAACTTTCTGTTCCTCAAAGCGCATGTCATGACAGACGAATTTAGCGCATGTCATGACAGACGAAGCTAGACGAATTTAGCGCTTCGTTGAAAACAAAACCACGCATATATAAATAGAAGTACATGAATAAATAAACAATAAATAATTGGTACACATTAAAATATTGATATCGGATTGAAACGGCGCAAATGCACGGTGTAAACAAAG